TATATATATATCTATTGAAGACGAACATCAAAAGTAGCGAGAGTCGTTATCTGTTCCATTTAGTCAAAAGGGATGAATACCAGATATACTAACTACAGTAAACGCCACTATGGGTACTATTACATGTATTACATAACAGCCGTAAATAGATAGACCTTGTTTCGTTTGGGTACTTCATCGGCAGCTGCGCTGTATTGATTATCGGCCAACGGTTTTTCTAAATTTACCCTATTTAGAATTTTTACATTTATTACGGTCCACCATATATCGATAATTAAATCAAAGTCGTTTGGCTATGATACTATCAGTCTAAACAGCTTTGTGACCACCTTTAGATTCAGAACGCGTAGAACACGTTTTTTCTCTATTAGGTCGATATAAAATTTAGATAGTTCCAATGATATTCTTGATTCGAAATTAACGCATGTATAACACGGTTGATTCAGGTCTCTAAGAGAATTATCCAATGCCCTGATCGGCCGCTCATCAGTCACAGAATCACGCCCTGCATCCGTAACCATACTTTTGTTTATTATTACTGCTAACCATTATCGTTATGCTTTACGTGGACTTTTTCCTATGACTTGTTGGAGTTTTTTTTTTTTTGCAGTTCCTGTCGAGTGAGGCACGTTATCAACGCTGTGGTGCAACTGATGTACGAACGGCTCTCCGAGGTTTACTTTTGTATGTTATTGCGTTCTCTAGGTAAGTGTGCTGGGAGATAATTTAATAAGACCATCTGGGAATAATCATCTCTCAACATTTTAACAGCTGGTTAGATTAGCGACCGGTAAGGAGTCTCTAGCTAAACCGGTCAGTGGAGCTTGCGTTTTTCGTAAAGTTCTTCTTCGGCCTTGATAATATTCATTTCTTAGAGCTCATGGCGGATCGCTTGATTTCTAACCGTTAGGAAACATTGTGGATAGAAGCTTCTATAATCCATTGTTTTTAAAGATTACCAGACGAACCCCACCTAAGTGTAGTTATTCAGTCATCCATATAACCTTGCGATAATTCACCGACTGTGCTACTTTTTCGTCTAATTCAATGTCTTGTGAAGCAATTACCTACCCAAAGTTAATCAACCTATTTATAGCTTTTACGCTCACTTAAACGCTGTCGTGGTAAATGCAGGTTTATAAAACGTATAATAATGACCTAATATTTTTAGTTCGTTGTACGAGTAATCGATTGCTA